GCGGGCTCCCGGCCCCTCCCCAGGGCTGCGCCGCCCCTGCCCGCGCCCGCCAGCCCGCCTGCCCGCCAGTTCTCGGGGCGCTCTCTGGGAGCTCGGGGACGCGCATCCCGGGACGCGCCCCGTCCGCGCCTTGCCCCTCCCGGCCCCGGAGTGGCCCGGTCCGCCGCGCCTCACCTCTTCTCCCCGGAGCCGGCTGCGTAGTGGTCGGGCTACGACCTGAGGAGACCGGGCGAGACCGCACTACACTCTCCCGCACCTGCCTCTCAGCGAGTGAGGAGCTGCCGCGCGCCTGACGTCACAGCCGCCCCGAGCGCCGCAAGCCGGGAGTCACCTGATTACCCTGGCAACGCGCGGGGCGGGGATGGGGCGGAGTCTCCGGCCGGCCCCGCCCCCAGCCGCTGGGCCTACAGGCGCCGCCGGGCGCGCTCTGTGGCAGTCTGCGCCGCCGCGACGCGAGCTTGGCCTCCGGTTCCCCCTAGCAAGCTTCTGAGTGCGGCGGACATCTGAGACTCCCGCAGGCACCTCTCCCCCCTGAGGCTCGGTTCCCCGAGATTCCAGTAGCTAACCCCTCGCTGCCAGTGTAGGCGCCTAGGATGCAGGACCGGGGTCCCTGCGGGAACCTACTCAGTGCGTAGCACGCGGAGTTGGCTGTGGGCTGCTGCCTCTTCGTGTCTTCTCGAGCTAGACCTGGCCAGCTTTGGGGGCTTACTCCGCAAGCTGTACCGAAGAGAACTGGGGCTGAGGCTGATAACTGGTTTCCTCTTTGGCAACTTTTCCCCATAAACCTTACCGCAAGTAGTGCAGCAGGTATTACAGAGTGTCATAAGACTTCCTTCACATCCGGAGGGGGAAGGGGAGGTTGGAGCCTAGACTGGGTCCTTCTGTCTTAAAGGTCTCCTTCTCCTATTCCAACAGGAAGAGAAATCACCGAAAAGTTCCCAGGGCAAGACCTGGAACAAACTTTCTAGTCCCATTTGCAAATTTTTTAAAAATTACAAGTTGATTTACTCAATCCCAGCAACTCTGGAGGCTGAGGTGGGAGAATCAGTTGAGCACAGGAGTTCAAGGCTGCTGTGAGCTATTACACCACTGTACTTCAGCCTGGGTGACAGAGCAAGACCTCCGACTCCAAAAAGAAAGAAAGAAATGGATTTTTCTTTCCAAATCTCTTCTCTTGCTTGCTATAATGGTATGCCTACACTTTGTGACCCTCCAGCCTCCCCAAATAGACCATCAGCTTCAAAATGAAAATTTAACACCCTACAGAGGACTTAGTTTGAAAGGTACTACTTACCTCATGCCTTCCCTTCTTGCTGAGTTTCATTTCGGTTTTACTCTCCTAATCCCATGCAGTTCCTATATGTTGTCTTAGACCAAGAAGTTTATAGTCAGCTTGTAGCGAGGACCTTTTGGTGTCAAGCAATAGGCAATGCCAGGCTGATTAAGACACAGTCCTTGAAGATGAGGATTTGTGAGTAGTATGTCTCATATCCAAGTTTCATTTGTAGTTTATTATTTCCTTAACCACTGTATTTAAAAGGCACCTTTTGGCCAGGTGTGGCTTACACCTGTAATCTCAGTGCTTTGGGAGGCAGAGGTGAGAGGATTGCCTGAGTCCAGGGGTTCAAGACCAGCCTGGCCAACTTGGCCAAAAAATTAGCCGGGCATGGCGGCACACACCTGTGGTTCCAGCTACTTGGAAGGCTGAGGCAGAAGGATCCCCTGAGTCTAGTAGGTCGAAGCTGCATTGGCCATAAGCATGCCACTGCACTCCAGCCTGAGCGACAGTGAGACTCCTACTCAAAAAAAAGTCACCGTTTAATTGTTATACATTTATTTTTTGAAAAAACTACCATACAAATGGGAAGGAAGACAGTTGTGAAAGGTAGAAAAGAATCATGACTCTAGACAGAAAGAGCTGCACTCATAGAAGAGAAGAGATTGAAAATGTGAGCTCAGGTGCCAAGCAATAGAGAAGAGTGGGAACAGGAAGATAGTAGGAACAGGACAGAGGCCACCAGGTGTTTGGCAGATCTGAGGCGGGAATGAGAGGATTGGGGTGAGTTGGGCCAGAATGAGGTTTGAGGGATTCAGTGGAGGGGGAAAGGGCTGAGCAAAGAGTAGGGAGGAGGGATTGAAAAGAAAGGAGAGGTCGGGCTCGGGGGCTCAGCCTGTAATCCCAGCACTTTGGGAGGCAGAGGCGAGTGGATTGCCTGAGCCCATGGGTTTGAGAACTTGGAGAGCCCTCGTCTCTACAATAAATCAAAAATTAGCCGGACGTAGTAGTGCGTGCCTGTAGTTCTGGCTACTTGGAAGGCTGAGGCGGAAGGATGGATAGAGCCCAGCAGGTCGAGGCTGCGGTGGCCGGGAGCGTGCCACTGTACTCCAGTCTGGGCGACAGAGTGAGACTCAAAAAAAAAGAAAGGAAGGAGAAGTGGGCAGTGATTTGGTAAAGAGAGATCCAGGGAGAGATGCTCAGGGGATTCGGAGAAAGGAGACTGAGAGGCTACAAAAGAGAGGACTGAAGGAAAGGAAGAAGCAGGTGGAGAGAAACAGATACAGCTGATATCTGAAAACTAGGTAGTAGGTGACATCCTTCAGAGGTTGGCAAAGAAGAGCAGCATTGTCTGTTAGCCTCTGAGGCGCATAGGTCATCCATGAATACCCCAAAACTATCTTTGGATCATCTGGGACAGGCAAGAACCACCCTTTGCAGAACACTGATACAGAGGGAAGGGCAGAAATGGGCACATCCATAACAGCACACTGACAGCACTCACCAAGACAATAAGACTTTTTGGCTGGAAGGATTTGCAGCCCTTGGGACCCACCCGTGTGTCTCTGATTTAGGCAGGGCAAGGTGAGGATGGGGTGGTAGGCAGAGTTACTGCCTTGGAAGGGCAGGAAGCTTCTTATGGCAGCTGGTACATATGGGAGCTGTGCTGGGGAAGAAACAATGTTAAGACGTTTTCAGTAAGGTCCCTGGCCACTCCCTTTTTACTGAGCTGGTAAAGTAAGGGTGTAACCAACAAGAAAAACAGAAAATTCCTCACCCCCACCTCCATGATGGGGAATGAGTGTTCTCATGTGGGAAAAAAACTCAAGGAGTGTTGTTGGTGGCATCCAAGAGCAGAGATGTGACCAGGAATGCATCCCACATGTCTGTTTTCTAGGATTTTGGCCTCAAGTCCCAGGACTAAGCAGGGGACTAGATGTAGAAGTTGCTGGAATTTCATCAGGTTTCTTCACAATAGCAGTGGGTTTCCATTCCTGGAAATAAAGATAAATGTCTGGATATAAGGCCCTGGCAAAGCATATTTTCTGTAAAAGTTCATTAGCCCCAGAAGTATTCACTCAGGAGAACCATCCAAAGATTGTGGAGGCAGCATGGTGCAGTGGCTGAAAGCCTGTGCTCTGAAATTTATCTATTTTGTGAATGTGAGCAAGTTTCTCACCTTCTCTGAGCCTCAGTCTTTTCTGTAAAATGGGGATAATAATACCTACCTCGCAAAACTATCATAAACTTTTGGTGAATTCCAGGGCAAAAAAAGAATTCAGGTTCATAATATTTTTAAAAGGTTCATTTTTAAAAACCATCATATTTTCATTGGGCCCCATTTGTTCACTCAAGGATGAACTGGATAAAAGAATGTTTCTTGCACTCAACATTGATGGATACAAGAGGAGCATGCACTCTGGGTTAGTCCTCCAGGCATCTGACTCCTGATGGGAAGATGAGCCAGTGTAAGACCTTGCCAGACTGCTGTGAAGTTGAACGCTAGACTATGTTTTATGCCTTTCTGTACCCTCAGCATTCATAGAAAGGTGGCCCATGCCAGCTGCATTGGCTGAGGTGGGATGCAGAAAAGGAAGAGTCTGGAGCAGAGCCTTGAAAGTTGAGCAGGATTTGGAGAAGGTGTCAGGTGAAGAGAGCATTCTGGGTCAGGGGGATGACCTGAACACCTGGGGTAGGAGCTCAGTAAATATTTGCTGGATGAATGAGTGAATGAACAAGCAAAGATAATGATATTATTAGCATAGTGTAGGATCAGTCTGATGGGTGCTTTTTTGAATGATTGGTTAAATGTGTAAGCAAAGACAATGAAATGAGACAATGTTGGGCATAGCCATAAAACCCGCCTAACTGGACTGTGGAAATTGAAGGGTTGTGGGAAATATGGCAGAGACAGAACAGACTGTGGAAGAACTTTTGAAACAGCAGAATCTTCTGGTCAGAATGTGGCTGGATCCAAAGTGACAGGATTGCGTTCAGACTTCATCACCACTTAGTGGCCATGTGACTGTGAGTGAGTTACTTAACCTCTCTGTGTTTCCTCATCTTAAAAAAAAAAAAGGAATAAGATTGATACCTGCTTTTTGAGGATGAACTGAGAAATTTATGAAACCTAAGCGTAGTGCCTGACATATCCAAGTGCTCCATACTGTTAGCTTTTATTCTTAGTATTTGTTTTATTAAGGGCTGAGCACAAGAAGATCGGTTCAACATGAAATCTAGGGAACCCCTGCAGTTCCTTGAAGTGGGAATGGGAATGGAACACAGTGCTTTGTGAAGAGTCCTCAGGCAGCAGCTTCAGACTGGGGCAGAAGGGAAAGCAGGACCATGGCAAAGGTGCAGCCCCAGAGGGTGAGGAAGGGCTAGCCAGGTTCTAGAAGCAACCTCTCCTGAAAATGAGGAATCCTGTCCACCTGCTGGTTCATGTGTGGACTTTGGGCCTGGAATGCACAGGCTCTCAGGAACCCTAGTGCATGAGTGTCTACCGCACAAATTGCACAATGTCTTTTTGAAGCTCACAGGCTCTATGGAGATTGCTAGCAGAACTTCCTTTGGTCAAGTACAGAGAGTTGTAAAACCCTGGGGAAGTCCACCAAGACCTGGCCTTGAGCTTATTTCAATTTCTTCTCTCTCTACAATCTTGGATACAGACAAAGGAACAAATGTGAAAGAAAGCCAGTGAATGTGGCCAGCATAAGCACACAACCCAGGAAAGAATACTCAGTCTTCTTTCTTTTCTTTTCTTTTTTTTTGAGTTGGAGTCTCACTCTGTTGCCCAGACTGGAGTGCAGTGGCTGCTCCTGGCCACCACAACCTCGA